GTCTTCCCTGTGAACAGCTTACATTTGGAGCACTAGTTTATTATGTTTACTACAATTTTTAATAAATTGAATAGGTAGTATAAAAAAAGAAAGGTTACACATTGCATTCTTTATATAGTAAGTCCCTTTTCATTTATCATTGGTTGTTCCCTTAAGGTTGGTGCTCAAAGATATAAGGCCACAAGCTTTAATTAAATATATATATATCCATCTTTTTAATTTTAAAAAGTGGGAATAGTTTTCTTTTAAAGACTTGTTTTTGGCCTGACATGGTGGCACATAAGTATAATCCCAGCATTAGGAGGATGGGGCTGAAGGCTCACAAGTTGGAGCCCAGCCTGGACAACTTTAAGTAGTTTATGGAGAAGCTGTCTCAAAAAAATAAAAATAAAAAAAGGCAGAGATATATACATAACTTAGTGCAAAGGTCCTGAGTTCAATCCCCAAGTATCAAAGAAGAAGAAAGACTTTGTTTAAACAAGAAGTTTGAGGTTCATAGCAAAATTGAGGGGAAGATAGAGATTACTCATAAACTTCTGATCCCTGCACATGAATAAGTTTCTCTTTATCAACATCACTTGCCAAATGGCACATTTGTTAAAACTGATGTACCTTCATTGACACATCGTGATCTCCTAGTATCTATAATTTATTTTAGGACTGGGTAAAGTCCTTACTCCTGAAATTTTAATAAAATTGTTAACTAATTTTTACTATGGGGGGGGGCAGTCTGGGGATCAAACTCAGGACCTTACACTTACCAGGCAGGTACTTAAGCCAGTGAGCTACCTCCCTAGTCCATGTTACTGATTATTTGTATATTTGATAATTTAAAAAATATTACCACTGTATTGTCTGTGGAATTAAAGTTCCATGTTAAGCTCAGATTTATTGATATATACTATATTTGTGCTCCCTGAACCTTATAGCACAGTACCACAGACTGGGTAAGTATTATTGAAAAGAGGCCCAATGGCAAGGACCTACTTCTGATAAAGTCTTGAG